ATTAGACTTACCCATCACTTATATGGCATTTCGCTAGTTAGTAGATATTGGATAAAAAAAATTGTGAAACCATAGAACCCGCTATGATAACTTAATAGTTTTGGGGGTGAATTTGGCAAGTTTATCAGAATTAAATTTTACAAGGTAAGAAAAGAGAAAAAAAGTTTACCAGGCCACCTTTCGCTCCAGTTGAAGTCATCAGAGACAAGCAGTTAGTAGGAAATGGTTTCTGCAAGCCACCAGGGAATAACACGCTATTAACTTCGGAAGTAAGAGCATTCAGAGAATTTGACATCATCCTATCTAGCCTTGTTACTGCAGATTCTCCGTTTCTCCTGACAACTTTCTCAGTTTCTTTCAGCAACTTCAATGGATCTAAAATGATCAAAGCAAGTTGGCAAACATTGTGATAGAATAACCTCTAAAATATTAGATTCAAAAGAATCACACGAATTAAATAAATCGCGAACCAGATGTTATTTGAAAAAAAAGTGTAGCTTCCGTCCAAGAATAAAAATAATTTAATGCATCTCTAAAAAGCCTATTATATAAAATCTTTATTGATTAATTTTCCAGAAAATTCAGAAGGACATTTCAGCTCCATGATATCAAACAAAAAGAAAAAGAAAGCAAATGTTAAATCAAAATTATTCAAGGAAAAAGGCGAACAAGAGCAAACATTTTTGAGGTTCCAATAAGAAAATCCAGCAAATATATACCATAAAATTGGCGTACCTTTCAAATCATTTGTTGTAGCTTTTGTAAACCGAGAATGAACATCTTCACTGAGACATTCGCTGTTTTCCAGTATTCTTTTCCTCTTCTTATCCGATTTTTCGAAAACCAAAAGATCATCCACTCCACATGTAAAACCATGCATCTGTGAATAGAAGCTAATATTAATCATACTAGAATGTTGATGATATATGAGTGAGCTATGGAGCATATAAAGAAACATCAGACAAAAACGAGAAGCACCAACTTGCAGAAAGAAGGTGAATAAGCGACTGAACACTGCAAGTAATTGCCCAGCAATGTCTGCACCATAAAGTTCATGGATAGTATGAACTAAACCGCATTTTCCAAATTGAGCTTTGTCAATAATCCCATGCACAAGCTCATTGTTGTAAACAAACAATTTCCTTTCAATAGCATCTTTTCCAAAATACTCCTTGGGAATCCTTCCCTCTTTCTGAACAGTAAGTGGTTCACGACCCTTTATCAGATGATGTAGAATTGCCGTAATGACCTACACATAACACCGAATTGACACCTGATGTATCTAAGTTAATTCTTGACAATTTAAAGACAAAAAAACTCCATTATTGATGCGTATGAATAATCAAATGGACTATAACTAACCTGTTTTCCTGTCCACAACAGTTTCGGCTTCCATATAGCAGGAGGAAGGGGCTGAATATCATCAGCGACAACTACAGCAGAAATCTTTTGGCCAAAATTAATAGCCTGAGAACTATAAGATGGGGGTGGTACACAGGAAACATATAAAAGCTGACTGTACTCTTCACGAGTTAGAAATGTGTCCATCTTTGTTAGGAGCACAGCGCTTACAATATGATCCTATATAATTTAAGAGATTCAAAAAGCCATCAATTTTTTAACGAGAAATGTAATGTCACCAAAATATATTGCAAACAATAGGATTCATACCTGTATGAGACTTCTTATGGGATTCCCGCTGGTTGGAACAATATACTGCTTATTGGCATTAACAATGTGAACACACTCCGCTCGTGAAATCTCATCTTGAGGAAAATGAACATTCATTTCATCTCCGTCAAAGTCAGCATTGTAAGTGCTACAAGGAGAAGATTTTATAAATAGAATGTAACAAAAAAAAGGTTCCCAAACAAAAAATGAAAAGCGTAATTAGGACCTGCAATTGGCATAGTGCATACGAATTGTTTTTTCTCCATTCATTACCCGTACAACATGAGCCATCATGCTGGGCTTGTGCAGCGTCGGCTGTCAAATCATATGTAAAATTAATATGAGCATAAAACAAATGCATTCATAAAGAAGAAGAGCATTTTTTTAAAAATTTATTTAACTTGTAGAGAACAAACAACGAAATGGCTCGTTACTGAAAAAAGAATCAAAAAATGCAAAGCTAAACTGCTTTTATAATGCTGTACAAACTAATGCTCATTTGCTTTAATAACCCTCTGTTCACAAACAACCAAGACATTAAATGTTCCCTAATTAAGAGCAATTAAAATGAAAATTGAGACATAAAACATATTACTTGGAGGATTTCTCCAGGTTCAATGAATCTATAACTAGGCTACAGAATATAAACTTTCTAAACTTTCAAAGAAATTGTGTTCAAGTTTTCGATAATACGTGCAGGGCTTTGCTCAATAGAAAGTACAAAAAAATATGTATTAAAAAAACTATGATTTATTGAGCAAAGCACTGCACTTAATAATTTCATTACATTACGTTTTATCACTAAGTATAGTTCATTATCCTCAAATAAATTTTGTCATGAAATTCTAGTAAGTTTGTTGAGGTGTAAAATCTAACAAAAAATCAGTTAGAAAATCAAGTAGATAGGAAGGAAAGAACATGCGAATTAATGTTATTCTAAGCACATTCCTCTACATGTGCATCATAATTTAAAGTTGAACCTCCTATTGATTTAAATAAATAACAGAGAAAAACCTATACCTGTCGATTAACTAGAACTATGTCCCCATCTTGCAAATGACGATATACAAATTTCGCTTCAAATTTTGTTTCTGGGCCCATTCCCACCTTAGTAACTGCCCTTGATGTGGGTAATTTCCTTGAAATTGCATTTCGCATGTCCATACCTGTTTTTGAACTTTATTATTCACTACCAAGAAAAAGGAAGGGGTGCTAAAGACAGAAAAGTAAAAAAATAAGTCATAAAAGATTGCAATCCAGCATAAAGAAAATAGAAAACTATCAACTTTTTATTTCTTGCGATGAAACTATGTTACTAGTTAGAGAAAAGTTTACATGAACAAACAGTTGCAAAATAAAGCGTATAGAAAAGCATAAATATAAAATATATTGGATCAAGATAACTTCAAGAGCAGGTCCATATTCAGACATCTGCTAAGTCAATAATGCCAAGTTGAATTATTGTGCCTGTCTTGGAATCTAATAAACTTTAGTGAATAAAGAAAAACTGCAATTTTTCTCTCTGCAAAAAAAATCCAAAGTTCAATGGAGATTGCTTCTCTCCTCCTGGATAAATGAGAATTATAGAATTTAAATAATAAATTGATTAAAATTATATAAGATAAAAAAGGGTAAGTAATATATGCACAAAGGTGAATATTTGAAAAACAATCAGGATTATAAAAAATTGAATCAAAATTATGATGGACCAAAATGTAAAGTCAACAAAGAAAGTGGCTAAGAAATGGCTTTTCAATAACTATAAACAACATAAATGATAAATATAAAAGAGACTTTTTAATGGAATGATGAGAAAATCCATTTGACAAAAAAGTACCATTTTGTTGAAACGCCAACTTGAAATGAGGATTGCAAAACATCTTAGAATGTTTAAAAATGCAAAATGGGTAAAGAATAAGAGTAAATGATCAAAGGAGTTTTACATACCAACCTTCCAAAACATTTAATATAACATTTTAACCACCCAAAATCTTAAGGGGTTTTTACATAGCACCCAAATCTTATGTATTTATTCATCTCACACCCAAACTTTGATTTTTACAGTTTAAGCATCCTAACTATAAAAAAAAGTGTAATCCACCTTTTCATACATATTTTCAAACATAGGAAAAGGTGCTTAACTGTAAAAAGTAAAGTTTGGGCGCAAGATAAGTAAATACATAATAATTAGGTGCTATGTATGTAAATTTCCCAAATCTTAAATATACGATTTTAACCACCCAAAACATTCACTAAAAACTTCATGAGTGAGTTTAGGAGGTGTTTGTAATGAAAAAATTATTAAAATATTGTATTTAAAGTTTAGGAGGTTGAAATGTTGTATTAAATATTTTGGGTGGTTGGTATGTAAAAATCTCATGATTAACTACACTTATAAGATACTAAATAAAAAGAGAAGGGAATCAACCACCACGGATAATACTTCTTTATCAAACAGAATATGAAAAAAAAATTAAACAATTTCAGCAAAAAAATTAAAATCCAATAAATGTTTTACATAATAAGAGATGAAAGTTTTATGTTATTGAATGATGGGAAGATTGGTGTGATTGGTATTCAATTCTCAAGGACTGCATTTAGGGTCAACAACTTTGCTTTGACTTCAAATATTCCTTTTACCCCTCCTCTTCACTTAACGACTTGTTCGTTGTCCCGGATTTAGAGGAGGTCGTGAAAGAGTAGAAAATTCATACACTTAGGGTGAAAGATGATGAAGAACTTTATGTATAAGAGTCCTCAATAAGCTTTTTTTCTTCTGAATCCAATTTCAAAAAAGCAGCTTGTCAATAATATGAAGAAAGATAATGTTCTTGCATCTCTCTCTTCATCTTAGACTACGTAGTAATCTTGTTCTTTCCGTCACGAAGACAAATGCAATTAAGATTCTCCAACCATAGATAAGTATTGTTGCTGAATTTGATAGTTACCAATTTAACTATCCTATTTTGTGGAATGTCTTTGCACTCAAAAATCTATTTCACAGAAGCCAATCAATGAATTCATCCCAATCCATACGCTCATACAAATTTGGCAAGTCAATCTCTCCCTTCTTCTAAACCTAATGCCAAATAGACGGGGCATTGGTTCTTCATCGATCGAGCTTCATTGGTGAAAATGTTTCACCTCTTCTTCTCCATCTAGTTGATCACCATTATGGCTATTGATAATCTATACAAATTATCATCTTTCAAGTTCAACAAGTCTTTGTTGTAATTAAGAACTTACTCTCTACACATCCTCCATAGTAAGCTCTTAAATACCTCTTTATAGATTTCACCTGGAAAACATGATTTGTTCCCGATTAAGGTTTCAATCAACGGTAGGGTCTAGATTTAGATTTGGCCAAAATTTTGAGATTTAGGGTGCATGGGACAACTTTTTTGTTGTGGCACGTTTTGAAAACACTAAAATACTTGTTTGAAAATCGTGGTGTGGCAGCTTATTAGAATAATTTCATTAAATGAGCTGCCTGCGTTTCTTCAATTGGCTTGCGTGGTATTTTTCTCCTCTCCCCCACTCCTCTTTTGTCTCTGCCCTAACTCCTAACCCGAATCGTGACACTGACCCTAGGTAACTTTTCTCGCGCTCCCCTTTCTTCTTTCTCACCCTCTGCCCTGGGAAATTAGTCTCCTCTGCGTAGCTCCCAATACTCCTCTCAGAACTCTTCTTTGGGTACTTGCTCCTCCTATCTCGTGGTGGGAAAACGACTTCACTACCTTCTTTGTTGGTTCCCCTTGTTCCCTATTGCCCCTCTGGTAACTTTTACCCTCTCCTTTGATGCACATTATTTTTTGCACTTTGCGGTTTTGAGCCACATGGCTTGCTTTTTTTGAGTTGTGGCCATGCTCTATGAAAATTATAAATATGTGCTTTCAAAAGGGGGTAATGCCCGGTTGCATTTATTTCTTTTTGTGAATTTTGGTTGTTTGTGGTCTTTGCTATTTTGGCTCTTTGATCTTTGTTTTTTTTTTTGGCAATGCTCCACAAAATTTTGGTTGTTTGTAAGCATTTGTGGTTTGTCTCTTTTCTCTATGAAGGAATTGAAGCATTCAATTATATGGTGATGATGGCGGTTTATGGATTTTCTCTATGGAGGAATTAAAGTATTCATAATTTTGGGGATGATGTTTGTTGTTTATGGCTTTCCTCTATGGAGGAATTGAAGTATGTGGGTGGCTATTAGCATTTTACAGCCATTCTCTTTGATGGGTTGCTATTGGCGGTTTGTGCCCTATAGGGATTTCTATGTGATGGTGTGTTGGTGGTGTGGTGGTTGCAGCAGTGTGTAGATGGGAGTGGTGGTTGTGATAGTGTTGATGGTGTGGTGGTTGTGACTAGTTGGTGTAGTGGTGGTGATGTGTTGGTTTGGTTGGGTTGGTTGTGATAGTGTTATTGTGGTGGCAGTGGTGTGTTGGGTTGGTTGTGGTGGTTGTGGTAGTGTTGTTGTGGTGGTTTTGGTGTGTGTAAATGGGAGTGGAGGTGATAGTGTGTTGATGGTGTGGTGTTAGTGGCTTGTTGTTGATGATGTGAGGGTGGTGGTGGCTTGTTGTTGATGAAGTGTAGTAGTTGTGTGTTGATGGTGTGGTGGTAGTGTTGTTAGTGGATGGAGTGGTGGTGAATTGTTTGTTCTTTTCTGTTACCTTTCCAGATGTGATTTTTTTATAATATTACTTTTTCGGGTTACATGAAAAAAAATTTTACTGTATGTCATAAGTCTATGTTGTTCATCTCTATTCATGCTAGTAAACATGATGGGTAAGACAAAAGAGATTAGTTCTTCTATGATGAAGGATAAAAAAATTAAACTAATGTTTTGCGATCTCTGCCTTAAAGAGCCGGATTTGAGAAGTAGATCAACCACCTATTTAACAAGAAGAGTTGAGAGAATATACAAAGTTCAAGGAAAGCAAAAAAAGAGAATATGATATTATACAATTGAAAGACAAGTAGGATCAGTTAAAAAGGTACTGAAAAATATGGAAGAGTTGAAGCGATGATCCATGGGCTTGGGTTAGGATCTGATAAAGCGAACCATCGATGTTTTGGAAAAATGGTGGGCAAAGAGATTGAATATGAGAATTTATAAAACGTCATGTCCTTCACCATCTATATTTCTTGTAGTTACATCAACATATCAATCATTCATTAATTTGTAGAATGCGTAAAATGTTAAAAAAATTTAAATTTAGCTGACCCAGCACTTGAAGAAAAGTTGGATTGTTTGCTTGGTGAAGTCGTGGCCACGGAAGATTATGCATGGGCCCCAAATAAGAAAGGATTCGCTGGCAGAGCTGTGCGTGTTGATGCCGAGCAAATTGCTGCAATGAAAGCCCTAGCACTAACCTTAATGAAGTTAGATCTACTAGTTGATTCAAATGTCCTAGAGTTGAGAAAAAGATAAAAGATGGAGAAGTTTTCACTGTAAGTCAAATTTCACAGTTAGTTGCTTCAAGCACCAATGACCTTAGCACATCACAAGCAACTTCTATTCAGCAAGTCATGTGAATTATGAAGGAACTCCAAAAATTTACGAGGGCATGTCCTTTTACTTGTTCTCTATGAAGTTGCTTGAAGACATGACCGGAAGAGAGTTCTTTATATCGATGGCCCCTGACCGTAGGATCAATTACTTGTGTTAATTTCATGACAACCAGAATGCATGCATTGAATTTTGTTTGTCATACATTTATTTTTATTTTTTCTAAGGACATGTTATATGCTACTTTCATTATGCTTAAATCTTATTTGTTGGATACATTTTTATTTCACTATGTTCTAGCTAATTTGCACTTATTTATACATGGTAGTTGCATAAACAATGAATGATATGGATAGAGAAAAACGTAGAAGAAGAATTTCAGTTGTGTTATGCTTAATGTATGACTACTACAATTCATATATTGCTTGCTCTACTTGCATGACATTTATATTCATTGATGATAAGTGGGTTGGGGAGTTGTTTGCGGGTCGCCCAACAAAATTTAGCAATATGTTCTGAATGACTCAGCCATTATTCATCGATTTATTGGAAGAGCTGCACAAAAATCATGGATTTTATGGCTCCTCCAAGATGACCTACAGAGAGGTGATAACAATAATCCTCTACATTTTATCACAGAATGAACTTATGAGAGGAGGCATTGAGCAATTTCAACACTCTTCTAAAATGATCTGCAGATGTATTCAATTAGGTTGAATGCCCTGGCCAATTTATTATCAAAAATCATCAAACCCGAGGACTCAACATTCCAAAGGACCTCCATACAGACTTACGAAGAGGTGATAACAATAACACTCTACATTTTATCGCAGAATAACTTATGAGAGGAGGCATGAAACAATTTCAGCACTCACCTAAAAAAATTTGCATATGTATTCAATTGGGTTGAATGCTCTTGTCAGTTTAGCATAAAAAATCATCAAACCCGAGAACCCAACATTCCAAAGTACCTACATACAGATCTCACAAGGCATACGTTATATGTCAAATTTTAAGGTAAATCAATATATTCATACTTACTTGAATTTGATTGAACAAAGTAATTCAATTGCTTTTGTTAAATGTTTTAGGATTGCATTGGAGCGATTGGAGCAATTAATGAAACACATGCGGATATACGTATATCGAATAGTGAAAAGATCGCATTCATCGGGCAATGTGGTTCACCAACACAAAATGCCCTGGTTGTATATGACGTTAACATGTGTTGCACTTTGTTATGGGCAACATCAGTCTCCCGACAATCCAAATTTTGCTTTCTTGCTTCAATTCAAGCAAGTTTTGTTCAAACATACAAAGAGAGAAAACAACATGGCAGCCCTTGTGCAAAGATGGCTTTATTAAGTGATTTTACTTTGCATCATGTAAATGGCAAGGACCCACTTTTTTTCGCTTTAAATGAAGATAGTGCATATTTTGTAAATGCCCGTCGGGTATAGTTTTCTGTTTTGCTTTTTTGGGGACTTTTATCACCCATTTTGTAACCCTTTTTGTAGGGGTCTTTTATAATTTTAATGCAAATGCACATTTCAATGACGGGAAGAAATACACACGACAGTCGGATATTCAAATTTACGACAAAAATTCAAAAATATAACTTTCTGCGCCCACCACCAGATAAAAATTATTTGGCAGATATTGGATATCCCTTACAGAGAAGGTTTCTCAAGTCATTTCTTGATATCAAATATTACATTCCTGGTTTTGAAAGAACTAGAAATGTTGCTCAAGGTAGGAAAAAAATGTTTAGCAAGAGACACTCATCCTTACGTGGTGACATTGAAATAATATTTGGAGTTTGAAAGAAAAAATAAGTAATACTACGGGATATGCAGGCATATTTGTTTAGCAAACAAGTCCACATGGTGGTCGCTACAATGACTTTCCACAACAACATTTGACGACATCCTTCATGTAGTGATATTGACTTCAATAGGGCAGATGAAGATCATTCACATGTCCCTATTGAAATAAATGAATATCGTCTCGGGCAACGTATATCACAGGTAGAAGACGATTTGTCTGAGACTTAAAAGCATGATGGTGCGGGTTTAGAGAAGATGATAGAATTGAGAGAATAAATCAATGATGTCATCACTAAGGGTTGAAAGAATGTTATATATTTCTTTGCTATTAGTTTGTTTACAATGTATTGTGAAAATAAATTTTGTTTATTGTATTGACATTTATGGAATGATATACATTTTGAATTTCAATCTTGGGTACATTTTATTTCCAGTTCTTTTGCACGTATTTTTTCCCACATCAATGGTTGATGAGGCAACCGTAGGCATAATATGTAATATAAATTTTTTATTGCATGTTTAATTTTTTTTATTTTAGAGGTCTGTGATGAGATATTCGACTTTATTGATTCTTTTGGATGGCCATCATGTTATTAGTTATTGACACGTGTGAAATCCCAATGAAAGCAACCAAGTTCCTCTCCATTTTCAGTACTTATGAGGATCTTCTAGATGAATTTTTTTGGTGATATGCATATATGACATATACGAGCTCGATAAAGGCAACTAAGTATTCACATTTATTTAAGATCGGTTATCTTCTTGTAGTGACAAATTCGTTAGTTTATACATTATTCTCTGAGACCCCACAGTTTCATAAAACTTAAATAGAGTAGTTATACTTTTTTTATTTCTAATGTTGCATCTAAGGGTTTGTGCTTTGCAATTTTAAACCTTCAGAAAAGATGAGCTCGGGTACCCCCGATACCTCTAGAGCATTATACTGCTAATGTGAACGACAATGTTCCCTACTTCGCGACATCCACATAGCTATGGGAGATAATTTTACAGGTATCCAAGGAAAAAAAACAGAGAACGATGACTTCTTTAGCTGAGAGGATACGGGCGTCGAGACAGATTCATCGCCTATTCATAATCAAGCTACAAGTACACCGTTTGAAAAGGACGAGCAGACAACACTATAAACAAGAGAAAAACTAAAGAAAATAATCTCCACTAATATAAAATAAGGCATTAAGTCCCCAAGCAAGTTTTACGGATATTATTTATGCTTAAGAAGATAAAAGATCCCTAAACTACTTATAAGAAAGACAAAATAAGGGCATTAAGGAGTCGGCCCACCCCCGTTGGCGAGAAATTTCAAAAAACCCATCCCCCTCCCCCAAACAAAACTTGGTTCCGTCTGGAGTGCAAAATGGAGGTCAAGTCCACGTCAAACTCCTACAATCAAGTCATACACGATCAACGGTTCAATCCGAAAACAAAAAGGATTTGCACATGAAAAAAAACATTAATTCAATATTGAATGTTAATTTAAAAGCCTCAAAAACATATTTACAACAAAATCAAAACTTTAAAAGCAACTATGCAATAACGATTTGGCCTCAACTATAAGGAAGTCCAAGAACCAAATCAATCGCATGATCTAAACATTGGTACAACCTAGAAAATGCAAAGAAGAAACATACTATAATGTATAAAATACAAAATCCATATGCCAATAATCATCAAAGAAGAAAACACCCAACGATCCATCAAGATAAAAATTTCAATTGAAAAATCTCTAACACGAAACAACTAAACCAAGGCCAAGTAATCATGGGACTAAAACCATAAGAATATGACATCTTTAAAAGCATGCAAATGCAAATTACTACAAAAATTAAAGGATTTAAAATCTAAAGTCAATTTTAATTTGGTAAAATTTTAACTTTCAAATTTATCTCTTAACACCAACATTTTAGATTCTAATGACAGTAGAATTTGAGATTCTCATCAATAAAATGGTAAAAATATTGTGGCAGTTTGGAACATCGACTGTAGAGAAGTAGAAACACTTACGAAGTAGGAAGCTATGTGAAATAACATTTAATAAAAATGTCAGGGTTAAGCTAAAACAGTCTCAAGATGTGCAGATTTTAAGATTATAATGCACAAAAAATTAAAGACATACATGAGGAAAATGTTACCTGCTTGCAACGTATAGAACCTCTCTCTCTCCATATAATGTGTTGCTCCAGGATAAAAATTAGGGCCATTCATGACAGCTTGTCTTAGCTTATTAACATTCCAGGGAGTTACTCTCTGCAAATAACATATTTCAATGCAAACATAAAGGAATCAATGTTGAGATGTGCAAAAGCACAAAGATCACATTCTCTTGAGATGAAACGAGAAACGTGCCTCGGGATATGTCAACCTCAGAGCAAAATAAGGAGGAATTCCTATTTCATTAACTGCCAAGTAAGGATCTGGAGATATTACTGAGCGACATGCAAAATTAACCCTTTTTCCCATCATTTTCTGGCGCAGTATGCCTTCTTTCTTATCCAACAGCTGGCGGATGCCATTTAGGGCTATATCACTTCTACCTAACATAAAAACCATAAAAATTATAAGCAAAGGACCGTTGAGAAAAAATGAAAAAAAAAACAATAAATAAGCTCTCACTCAAAAAAAGGAAAAATATGATGATCAAGTAGCTTCCTGTAAATAAGAATTGATCAAATCTCCTAGGCAAGCTCGTCAACAAGAAACAAAAGTTCAATAAAGGTACAAAGGCAAAAATAAAGGCAAAATAACATAAAACAATGATAGAAATAAGAATAATAAATCATGGATTACAAAATTTAAGGAAATACTATTAAAAACTAAGATAAAAAGAAAAAATACATATAGGGCTAAATCTTTTGATTCAACCCAGTCATGGATGGCTGAGAATTTCTACATATCAGCTAAAATTTACATTTACTATTTACCATTTAATATAATAGTCAACACAATCAAACTACTAACAAATATTTGAATTTTGAAGAAAATTCTAGATGTAATATAGATAGATAGGTTGATATATATATATATATATATATATTCAAAATTTAAATATTTGTGTTTGTGTACCACAACAAAATACTATAGTATATGCAATACGTACCAAATCCCTTTGTGTTATCAAACAACAAATTTACACTATTTTGGAGGTCCCGCCACTTTTGCAAGATATCTTGGTGACTATGTTCAGTATTGCCCAAGGAGATGTTCGCTTCCACAACTCTGCTCAACAAAACATTTTGAGGATGTTCCAACAACTACAGTAATAAGACATCAAAAAGCATCTATAAGTACTTTTACAAAAAAAAATTAGCAAAAAAATTTAACTAGGGATCCATTATATTAGTTTAATCTCTCCAATTCAAAAATAAATTAATATAAAAGAACACAAACCATAAAGTTGCAATCCCAACAACCAAGAGAAAAGCTTATGTCCACAAAGTACCCTTTCTCAACGTCTTCTTCATCTCATACTATTTTCATAAATAATATAAAGAGTTCAAGACTTGGGAATAAAATTTAGTCAGCTCACCTCTTGCCCACAATGTGCAGGAGGACGAAACTGGTTTGGTGGAACAAGAAGAGCCTTTAAGAAAAACATTGCATAACCGTTTTCCCTCTCAAAATTCCTTAAACGTCTGCATTGAATGTCACATATAAGCATGCATAACGTTGATTCCTTCCTCCATAAGTTTTTTAAAATAACTTCGACCTATTCACATACAAGCAAGCCCAAATTAACAAATAATAAAAAGCAAACAAGTACTACATATGCTAATCCAAAAGCATCCAACATATTGGACTACAAAATGTGGAAATCCCATGGAAATCCCAAGAAGAAATGTGGTAAAGAACCTCTGAAGAAGACAAATCAACCCTTTCAGATGATGCTATATGCTTTAGAAATTCATAAGGAAGTTGTCTGGATCGATTGGCTTGAGGATCCAATAGTTCTCCATCACCCCCGGAAGTAGTTCTTAAGCTAGAATCTTCAATAACATTGGCTCTATGCTCAGAAGTCCTATGAGACTGCATGTACGACATAATAGATGTCAATAAACATCTAAAATACTCAACTAATCATGCTAATCAAATGGAATCCTTAACTTCACTGTTTGGCCCAAACCTAATAAACCCTCTCATTTGGTTCTAACAATTATTAGTCTCAGAGCATGGGAAAATATTAATTATATGTGGAACGTGAAAGAAGAATACAAGATTATCAATGTCCAGATCACGCATTTTGAACCCCAAGAAAATCCGATAAAGTACAAGGAATACCATTTCCAACCAACAGAATGTGCGACTCTCAAGCTTCGGATTAATTTTTTTACAGTGGTTACACTTCTTGGGCTTTTCTCGCATAATTTCCTGTAGAACAGAAGCAGCTTCAGCTTGTTGAATGGAGGTCCAACTTCTTTTCAGATAGTTTGCATCTGGAGGTGAGTAAGAGTGCTTTTTTGTATCTTCAGGCCCAAAAATTGCCTCATCCCAAAAGTTAGCGGCCATCTTTTTGGCCTTAGTAACGTTGCCTTCAACGATAAGGCTCAGGATGGAAACATATTTGCGAACCTGAAAACTTATCATTATAGCAACAAATAGAAAAATCATAGTAATCAAAATATTTCAATATTAATCATAATATATTCAAATGAGCCTAATTTAAAACTAACTAATAATAATTAGAATAGTAAATGTTGAAGTATTCATAATGAAATCAGATAGTAGATTTTGGGGTTTCAACTATACGGTAAACTATTTTCCCGATCATAATTAACACGATGAATTATTGCAATAGACAATTGAGAATTAATATTTTAATTAATATGCAATTTAGAACATTATAATTATCCTAAGCATTGGACAATGACTCTAAAACCATTTAGCTAAGCTTACATTACATAAAACCAGAACATAAGCAGATAATAAAAAGAATTAGTTTTCATTAAGTATCTTAAGTATGAGTAAAACAACACACTAAATATAGTAGCATTTTTCATCATCTCTTGCAACATAGATAACTAGTAATATAATAAAATACCTTTGTCACTAATAATAATGAAATTATAGTTGCAACAATGACGTTAAAAGTGACAAGGAAAGATGAAAGAATGCAATAAACAAAGACGATTTGCTGTAAGAAGCTACCTTCTCATGACCCATCCTAAAGTTATGACAATAAAAACAAGCAATTTGAAGAAGATATTTAAGACTCCGGAATAGCAATGGATTGTAAATTGGTCTTGCAAGTTCAATATGACCATAGTGACCCGGGCAATGTAAAATTTGTTGGCCACAAGACTTACACCTGCAAATAGTGGGTAAAATGTTCCAATCACTAAACCAATAGAGAACCAAACAATACAACAAAGAATTTAAAATAACTACCAAAAATTGCATCTAACCCTTGTACATAAAAACTACAATTAACTACAATACAAAGCTGATATAAGTAAAGCATAATAAGGTAATTGCACTTTTAAAAAATCTAACCTGGTCCCTGTTGCTTTTTGTTATCGCATAATAATCGCAAAGAATTTGTTCAACTTAACCACCAAGAATCAAGTCTAGAAGAAACACCAAAACCTGTTCCAAAACAAAAAAAATTCACAGGCGTGTGAATAAAACTGCCACCACAACATTGGCAGAGATTATCAAGCCATTACACTCCTCCAAAAGGTTTTGATGGTTCCTTTGAATGGCCACAAAAATAGATCACGGTTTAGTTTTACACAATCCAAATGGATAAAAAGCTAAACAAGTGGTCAGACAACTCTAATCCTACCATACCGTCATCAGAAGAATTTAGTGATGAAGTCAATCTCCAGTAAGAAATGGCAAAGAAAGCTTCTTCTCCAACAAAACTTGGGACAACTTAAATTTTAAATTTCAGAATATCCAAACCTGCTTAAAATGAGTTTAAAAAAACTGATGAAATTATCGCACAAAATTAGGAAATCACCAAACTAATAGTATAAGTATATAGCACAATAGTGAGAAGACCAATGCATCATACATAAATACAAAAGTCCGAAAGGCTTTCTATTGAGTATCCCTGGGCTATAGCTAAGCTTGGAAAAAATTTAAGAAAAAAAAAAGGCGAACCATTGATTCATGATCAGCAATAGCTACCAGAGAAAAGCAGCCTCAACTGCCTAGCAGAAAAGCTCCACAAATTAATCCTTACCAAGTCGTAGTAGAATAAGAAAGTTTCCAAGTTAATTATTCTTCAGTAATTAGTTTTTCATTCACCAGACCAATATCGGCTAAGGTCTCATCTACCCTTCCAATGTGTCATACCCTAATTTTTTTTTAAGTATAACAACAAAGTACAATAAATAAATTATACCCTAAACTTTAGCATTCACGATAATCATTAAAAATCATTATATTGCATTGCACGCTTCAGATCGATCATTTTGATATATTAAGAAAATGTTGATACTCAAAATAAGAAATATATTTGAATAACATTTCTTGGAGTTCTTATTAAAATCGCAGTTGTTACTTGAACAAACTAATATCATGTAATACTCTTAGTGGCTTTTGTTATTTTTCAATTTTTCGTGCATGAAATCGATGATAAAAAAAGAGCGGCTGAGATTATTTTTATTAGTAAAATAAGTATAGGCATATATATCTATGATTTAAGCATTCTCTACATTTTCTGCTCATTTTTGTCTCTGGAACAGAGACTTACGAGCTTGGCAGCTTAGAGAAAGAGAGAAAAAAAGAAGGGGCATGGGGGTGGAGTTCAGAGAAGAGAAGGAAATGGGAAGAGGAAAAAAATATAAACCTTAGAGTTGAAATTAAAATTATATTCCATGCCTTCTTCCACAAAGCAAAATTTATAAGCTTTTAGACCAAAATAAAAAGAGATTATTTTAAGGTAAAAATTGGTTTATTAATTATCTCCTAAATGCTCAATATATTTTTCATTTCATTAAAGCACCAGTTTAAATTAATATTTCTTCCTTTATTCATGTTAAACAAATCGGCTCGATTTCGTAAGGTAAAGCTAGCTCGAACTCGATTAATTAATCGAGCTCAATTTGAAGTCGAGGGTAGCTCAAGCTCAACTTGACTCGACTCGTTTACACTCCTAAATGCTGCCTATATTCTAGCATGCACAAGAAAATGAGGGAGAAGAGAAGATTGAAAGCCTATGCTACCAAGGGGGCTAAGTAAAGAAAAGTTAAAAAAAGAGATATATGGAGAAGAAGAGTTGTGATGGCAGTTAAACAACCACCAAAGTGCTCAAGAACTCACAGGCAAAAAAAAAAAAATTGATGACAGGAGAAAAAAATGATAAAAACTCGGTTATCATTTCATTGATTTCTATAGAAGGTTCATAGATTTTAAGATTCATAGGACCTAAACTAATAACATTAATCAAACACCAAATACAATTAAATAATATATCATAAATTAATACGGTTTAAGATGTTATTTCCATGATTTGGCTTGACTCTATCAAAATACATACACAATCGATTTGGCTTGAATAGTACTGAAAAAATGCACACGAACAAGATGCAAACAATAACATGCATAGGTAGACAATCATGCACTCACACATACATAAATTTGTGTGCACACAATGCTTGCGCATGCACATTTCACACATAAATGTACATTTCACATCAACTTATGTTTGAAATAAAAGCTAATATTGCTCAAAAATCTCAAGAAGAGATTAGCCTGGTAAAAGATTAATTGTCAAAATCCAAACAACTTAGTTATTGTAGTTAATGATTATACTATCACACTACCCACTTGGAATTGAATCTATCTTAGTCAAGCAAAATAATAAGTACAATATATTAATTTAGATATTTTGACTTTTTGGTATTCAAGTCATGCATTTTGGTCAGTTAGCCATTTAACTATTGGAGCCACAATACAAGTTTAATTCCCAAATTATGGCCTAAAGATGTGTACAAAGAGCCCTAAGAAGGATGAGATAAACCTTCTTTTATAAATTGTAAGCTTCTATATCATGGGTCTTAAGAATTCAACTTTCTTGAATTTGTTTCAGGATAAAAAAACCTTTGAATACCATGATAACCCGGTTAAGTAATGCTAGGTTATTCGTCATTCATCCCAATAAAATATAAAACTATCATTGAGCCTAATATTTAAAATTTTCTTTTCCAAAAATAAGTCTTTCAACACTTCTCCCATCTGATAACAAAGTCAATCACGACATTTTACCTTTATACATCACTATAAGGTGCATAGATTAACACAAATAACAATAAAAATGAAGATGATAATAGATTGGATAAATTATATAGATTAATTTATCATTGACAACTATTTCAAATGTATACATAATCATTAATAATAAAATGTGCATTAAGCATAAAAAGCCTAAAAAAATTAAAATCTCGTCAATTATAATATAGCGAGCAGTCTATAAATTTTCAAGAAATGAATAAAATTGGCTAAAGTAGGCACTGAAATCTTTGAGAGCTACTCCTCACCCAGGCCATGATGATTAAAAGATTGATTTACAGGAAACACATCAAAGAGCACAACAAAATTCCTAACCTTGCACTCTCCAATAATTTCAATAAAAGAAATATGGGGTACACTACTTTTAGTAAATTCGGTTAGTTCCTACTGCAAAAATCTTTGATGGGGAAAAAAAGAAAAAACATGGGAAGATTATGTATCATGAATGTAAAATTAGGTAAAATCTGAGGGTTTTCTTGAAGGAAATGCAATTTTACCGGTATAGGAAAAGAATTGAAAACAACTACTAGCATTAGACATTCTAAATACTTTGCTTAAATTAATCAAAAGTTAACAAGTCCAAATCAATGCATCTTTAATTTTGCACAAAATGTTAGAGATCCAGGTCACGTTACTCTATTAGTTGGGAGCTTAGGATTTCAACTATTAGGTATTGAGTTGAGAAACTTTGTATATGTGTTGAATTGCAAAAATACCGAAGAAAAAACATTGGATATGGTTATAGAACAATGTGAATTTATTCCCAATAAAAGTTGAAAATTCAAAAGAACTAGAAAAAACGAAAGCACATGATGCCTATGGAGATGCTAATTTTAGGAAGAACTAACGTATCGAGGTCCTTGACCGGACCCAATGCCGGGTCATACAAGCCATCCGGAACAGGTGAATCCTTGGTATCAAGGAGTTCTGACTTGGTAATTGCCTTGAAGCTTATCCTCCTAACCTCTTCTGCAGAGTAAAAGCTGAAACTGATCCACTCCACAGTTTCAGATGCAGCCTGCACAAAAAAAAATTTATGTTAAGCTTTTGTAGAGAATTCATTAACAATATAAGTAATATAGAAGAAAACAAGCTTGGAAAAAAATATCGGGCAATTTTTTTCAATGAGAAAAATGTCTTAGACTACACTTGGAATATCAGACAGTCAAGTAAACTGTGAAACACAGCAATCAATAGTCAAGTACATTGTGAAACACAGCTATCAATAGAAGCTGAACCAACATCAGTACCTCATCAGGTCGCAAGCGAGCGTCAGACATTTTGAGCGGTGATTTCAGCAGGTCAGCTACTAGAGTTTACGTGGTCCTTGCTTGCTTCGGCAACTGGAAAACGTGTCCTTCCTTCGGTAAGTACGAAACCCGTCTTCCCAGCTAGCTCGGCGACTGTTTCGCGAATGCGCGATGTCGAAACCTAGAGAGAGAGACACAGAAGCGTGTCCTTCCTTCGGCGAAACTTGTGTTCCCAGCTAGATCGGCGACTCTTTCGCGAATGCGCCATGTCGGAGACAGAAGCGAGGGTTTGCGGATTTTTGAACGGGAGCGGGCAGGGAATTCCAGAATAATATATCAAATTAATTAATAAATAACAATTAATAATTACCTTATATCAAATTAATCATCTAAGTTTAGATGTACTTATTAAATAGTTAATTAATATTTAAAATTATTTAATTAAATTTTAGTAATTCTTAATTTCTATAATAATAATTAATTAATCAGGATTTTATTATTCGAACAATTTAATTAATAAATATCAATTAATAATCACCTTATATTAACTATAATTATCTAAGTTTAGATGTACTTATTTAATAGTTAATTAATATATAAAGTTATTTTTAAGATTGTTTAATGAAATTTATAATTAAGTAATATAAAATGTATAATCATCTAAGTTTAGATGTACTTACTTAATTAATATATAATTAATTAATAATTATAAATATTCCAGTAATTTAATTAATAAATATCAATTAATAATTATCTTATACCAAATTAGCTATAATCATCTAAGTTTATATGTACTTATTTAATAGTTAATTAATATATAAGGGAATATTAAAATTATTTGATGAAATTTTAGCAATTCTTAATTCTATAATAATAATTAATTAATTAAGAATTTATTAGTATGAAATTATTGTTTAATGAGTAATAGATTTACACTAAATTTATTACTAATTAATTTGTATAATTAATTATTAATTAATATAAGTTCCATTTTTCATGTACTTAAAAGACTTTAGATACTCGTTTGTATTTCCTTATTTAATATTTTTATTTGGATGTATCAACAAATAAAATCTGTGTAATTTTTTTTAAACTGTCAAACAATTTCTCAAGATTTTTTAGGATTTACTCATTAATAAACCAAACAATTTGAAGGTTTAACCTCATTATAGGATTTGATAAATCTGGAATTACTGGATTTACTAAATCCTATTTAAACTAAATTCTAATTACAACCTAACAGCCTCTCTTAGACATCCCTAGTTTTAGTTAAATCTAAAAGTTAGAAAATCATGTCATTAGATAGTTTATAATTATATATATACATATATATATAATTTTATATTTATATAATATATAATTTTTAATTTCATTATATAATTATAATTTATTTAATTTATAATTATATATATAAATTAGTTAGTAATTTTATATAAATTAAATATATAAAATTAATATATAATATATTTATAAAACTAATTTATAATAAATTTATAAATTAAT